GATAATAAGAATGATTATGATAGTAATAATGATGATAGTAATAACAATAACAAAAATGATAATAATGATAATGGTAATTATAAGTAGTAACACTTATGATAATAGTAGTAGCAAATGATGATAATGACAATTATAATAACGACGATAATATCAACAGCAATAATAGTAACAATAACAATAATGATAATAATTATGATAATAAAGATAACTATAGCAATGGTGATACAAATAATCATGATAATAACAGAGTTAACGATGATGATGATTATGATGACAGTAATAATAATGATAATAACAGAGTTAACGATGATGATGATTATGATGACAGTAATAATAATGATAATAACGATAATATTAACAATAAGTGTATCAATAATAATCATAAAATAATAATAATAAAAAGTAATCATAAAAATAATAATAATAATAATAACAACAACAATAATAATAACAATGATAATAATAAAAATAAAAAATAGCAATAATTATAACAGTAACGACAGCCACGATAACTACACCAGCAGCATAACATCAATTAGAAAAAAAACGTAAACAAAAGTTTCAACAAGGCTAATCTTTATTGAAGCGAACGCAATCGTGTTGCCACTTCCACTATTTTTCAAGAGCAGCTGTTACACCCCCTCCCCACCCCCCACACACACACACCTCCCACACACACACCTCTCTCCCCTCCCCACACACCCCTCACTCTCCCCACACACCTCTCACCCCCCCCCCACCCTTTCTCTCACCCTCCCACCACCACCTCTCTCAACCCCCCCACACACACACCTCTCTCTCTCTCACCCCACCCCACCCCCTCACCTCTCTCACCCTCCCACCTCTCACTCCTCCCCCCCCTCTTTCAAAAAAAAAAAAAAAAAAAAAAAAAAGGGGGGCGGGGGGGGGGGCAAAAAAGTGGTCTACCCTCCAAGAGGCATTGAAGAATGATCCTTCAGACTTTTCTCTCAAACCGAGCGTGGTATTTCCTCAAGCGAGAAAACTTTATCGAAAGAAAAGGATTCGTCCAGATTTCTTTCGATAAAGAGGCGAAGAAAGAAAGGGGAATCTTTGCGTGTGTTGAATTTTCTTTGTTCTTTGTTATATTCTTTGTTATGTAGACGGCGGGGTAGATAGGGAAATAGATATAGAGACAAAATAGGTAGAGAGACAAATGGATGAGTGGATATAGGTAGATGAGTAAATTGAGAGGTAGATGTGGTATTCGTGTTTACGTGTGTGTGTGTGTGTGTGTGTGTGTGTGTGTGTGTGTGTGTGTGTGTGTGTGTGTGTGTGTGTGTGTGTGTGTGTGTGTGTGTGTGTGTGTGTGTGTGTGTTTTTTTTGTGCTTGTGCCTGTAATTGTGCTTTTGTTTATGCGTGTGCGTTTGCGTGCGTGCACATGAGTAGACAGAACCAAAGATAAACACAGATCAATTAAAAAATATATACAAAACCTATAAAGCGAGACAGACACAAACACATATCCACATTCCCCCTCACCCCCCCTACTTTGCGTGACCCCACCACCCACACCCCAGACCCCCCACCACCCACCCCACCCCCCCCTCCTTACCTCCGGATGATGGACGAAATACTTGCTCTTATTCGGCACGAAAGCCTCGCCGTTCACCGACCACGAGAAGGTGGGCGTGGGCGCCGCCGTCACGTGGCACTTCAGATATCCGTTGCCTCCGATCGCCGCCCACCCTCTGACGCTTTGATATTCCTTTGGTGTCGTTGGCGGCTCTGGTGCAGAGGCAGAGATTGGAATGGGCGTGCGGGCGTGCACGGAGGCTCGTGTGTGGGAATTTGTGTGTGTAGGTGGGGGGTTTTATGGATATATAGGTAGTCGTCTCTTTCTCTCGTTCTTGCTCTTTCTCTTTCTCTATTTATGTTGGCTTTCTCTCTCTCTTTCTTTTTCTCTGTCTCTGTCTCTCTTTCTTTCTCTTTTTTTCTCTCTGTCTGTCTGTCTGTCTGCCTCTCTCTCTCTCTTCTTCTCTCTCTCTCTCTCTCTCTCTCTTCTCTCTCTCTCTGTGTGTGTGTGTGTGTGTGTGTGTGTGTGTGTGTGTGTGTGTGTGTGTGTGTGTGTTGTGTGTGTGTTGTGTTGTGTGGTTTTATCCGATTATCATTTTTTTATCATGTTTTTATTTATAGATCTATTGGAGAACAGAAGTCACACAAACACGTTTAGTCGTACTATCAGTAACATGACAATTTTATTATCATTATCATTTAAAAAAAAAATTAATCTCAAACCGCGGAGGAATTCAAGGAAGGGGGAAGAACTCACAACAAGAAATACATGTATGTCCACTTCAGAACGTACAGCAGACTCCCGTTTCCCCCGAGGAAGAATGTTCAGAGAAAACTTTCTTGACATGTTCACTTTACGACTGAACTTGTCGCTGCCTCCCCGCATCCGTACATTCACACACAAACGGACACACATATGTTCTCTCCCTCTCTTTTCCTTTCTTTCTTTTCTCTGTCTGTCTGTTTGTCTCTCTATCGCTTGCCCTCTCTCTCTCGCTCTCGCTCTCTCGCTCTCTCTCTCTCGCTCTCTCTCCTCTCTCTCGCTATCTCTCTCGCTCTCTCTCTCTCTCTCTCTCTCTCTCTCTCTCTCTCTCTCTCTCTTCTCTCTCTCTCTCTCTCTCTCTCTCTCTCTCTCTCTCTCTCGCTCCTCCCCCCCCCTCTCTCTCCTTCTTTTCTCTTTCTCACTCAACTCACACACACACACACACACACACGCACACACACACACAACACACACACACACACACACACACACACACACACACACACACACACACACTCCTCCCCCCTCTCTTCTTTCACATCACTCACAACACACACACAACACACACTCACAACACACACACACACACACACACACACAACACACAAACACACACACACCACACACACACTCACCCCTCTCTCTTTCTCTTTCACACTCACTCACTCACACACTCACACACACCTCACACGCTCCAATACCAACATCTCGCCTCTCTCCTCACCCTAGTACCCCACACTTCCCCCTTCCTCAACCCTTCCCCAAACGTCCCCAAACGTTCCCCTATTTACACACCAGCGCCCATTGTACCCTCCTACCGTCCCCCCTCCTCCTAGCCCTCCTCCTCCTCCCTTCCCCTTCCCCTAGTCCCTCCCCCCTCCCCCTAGCCTTCCCTCCCTTCCCCCTCCCCCTAGCCTTCCTCCCTTCCCCTCCCTCAACCCAACCTCCCTTCCCCTTCCCATCAACCCACCCCTCCCTTCCCCTCCCCTCAACCCACCTCCCTTCCCTCCCTATCCCCCTCCCATACCGTCCCCCACTAGTCTTCCTCCCTTCCACTCCCCTGAACCCACCCTCCCTTCCTTCCTCAACCCCCTCCCTTCCCTTCCCCTCAACCCACCCTCCTTCCCCCTCCCCTCAACCCACCCTCCTTCCCCTCCTCTCAACCCCACCCCCTTCCCCCTCCCGCTCAACCCACCCTCCCTTCCCCGCTCCCCTCAACCCACCTCGCCTTACCCCTCCCTCAACCCACCTCCCTTGCTCCTCCCCCTCCCCTCAACCCACCCCCTCCCTTCCCCTCCCCTCAACCCCCCTCCCTTCCCCTCCGCTCAACCCACCCTCCCTTCCTTCCCCTCCCCTCAACCCACCCTCCCTTCCCAGTCCTGCGCTCTTCCCCTCCCCTCAACTACCACCCTCCCTTCCCCGTCCCCATTCAACCCGATCCCTCCCCTCCCCAATATAGCCGTCCCCCTCCCTATCCCTCTCCCTCAACCCACCCTAACTCCACCCCCCCACTCCACTACCCGTCCCCCCTCCCCCTAGCCCTTCCTCCCTCCCCTCACTCAAGACCCCCCTCCCTTTCCCCCCTCCCTCTCCCCAACTCAGACCCACCCTCCTTCCCCCTCCCCTCAACCCACCCTCCCTTTCCCCCTCCCCTCACCCACCTCCCCTTCCCCCTCCCATACCGTCCCCTCCCCTAGTCTTCCTCCCTTCCTCCGCTCGCTCAGACCCACCCTCCGCTTCCCCCTCCGCTCCAACTCGCACCCACCTCCCTCGCCTCGTCCCCCTACTAGACACCAACCAGTGTCCCCATTCGCCAACGAACCGCACCCTCCCTTCCCCCCTCCCTGCCTCCCCCGCATCAAGACCCACGTCTCCCTATCCCCTCCCTCTCCCCCTACTCCCAACCACCAGGGTCCCCACTCACCAAACAACCCACACTCAGACCCACCCTCCCTTCCCCCACCCTCTCCCCCCCACATCAGACCCCCACCCACACTCACCTCTCCCTCCCGTCTCCCCCTCAAACACTGCACTCACCATACCACGGTCCCCACTCACTCAACACCGCACACTCAGACACACCCTCCCTCCCCCCTCCTCTCCCCCCTCAGACACCCAACCAGGTCCCCACTCACCAACACCCACCAGACCACCCTCTCCTTTCCTCCCTCCCCTCCCCATCCCACCCCCCTCTCCCCACTCAGACCCACCCTCCCCCTCCCTCTCCCCCCTCTTCCCCCATTCCACACACACCAACCAGGTCCCCACTCACCAACACCCACCACTGCCCGTGTAACTTACGTGTGACGACGAGCGCAGTGACAGCAGGAGGAGCTGTCGTCACGCTGTTGGAAGCCTTGCACAAGTACACGCCCGTGTCTTCCTTCGACGCCCGTTCCACGACCAACCTGGCCTCTCCCACGCCCCACCATAGCACGCTGGTCCGTGAGGGGGAAGGGAGAGGGAGAACGAGGAGAATTAGAGAGGAGAGAGTGGAACCAGGAGGGGAGGGAATAATTGGGAACAGGGGGGGGAATGGAGGTAGAATGGGAAAAAGCAGATAAGAGAATGGGGAGAGATGCTGGAAAGAGAGAGGGAGAACGAGGAGAATTAGAGAGGAGAAAGTGGAACCAGGAGGGGAGGGAATAATTGGGAAGAGGGGGGGAATGGAAGTAGAATGGGAAAAAGCAGAGAAGGAGATGC